AAAGAGGTACCTGTACGAAGAGGGTGAATCAGAGAGCCTAACAGTCACTGAATTTCACAAAGGTTTTATATTCCTGACGAGCACGCTGCCTGAAGGTTCAGTAGTAAAATCACAGATCTGTGTAGTGAGTGAACAAGTCAGCACTTACCTAACATAAAAGCGCCGACCCGTTTTCCTTAAATGTTTGCAGGTTTTATATACAAACATCTTTAAGCTGCACAAACATATGTGTTCCATGCCTTTTCACACATGAGTGTATTTGTAACTACCGAAGGATGGAGGATAGAGAGATTTACAGAGCCTTTACCTGGCCCCAGGCCCTTGGACTATTGCTGGGAAGAGGGATCCATAGGAAAAAAGACAATTTGCCTTTGAGCGGCTTGCAAACGACAGCCTTCCTACACAGCTTAATGACGGCCTTCAGGCTGCTCACTTCCCCCTTGGGTCTCCCCTCCAGAGGGTCCTCCTGTCTCTAGCCCTGGCCACGCGTCTGTCTATGAGACGTCCTCCCCTGGATGTTCATGGACTTCTTCAACTCAACATCTACGACACTGACCCCGTTGTCTTGGCACCTGCTCCTCAACACACAAGGCTCCCAGCTCAGACAATGGCAACAGCCGGGAATGCTCCCACTGCCTCACTCTCCACACTACCTAACCTCGAGTTCTGTTCATTCTACTTCCTGGATATCTCTCTTATCCAGCCACCTCTCACCATCTCCATTAGCCACTCTCTGGTGCAGGCTCCCATCGCATGGTGCCTGCCACAGCTTCCCAAGTGGTCTCCTGACATCCCAGCATGTTACTCTCCCATCCCTGCCCACCCCGCAGCCAGTGTGACCTTTCTAAAACAAATACAGGACTGAGTCACTTAGCTGCTTAAAACCTTTTAATAGTTTCCTGTCGCTGTTAGAATAAAGTGCAAATCCCTTAATATCCATTGCAAAACCCTTTAGAGCCTGGATCCTGCCCATCTCTCCATCCCCACTTGGCTCCTCTCTCCTCTCTGAGCACCAGCCACACAAAATTCTTTCAGTTTCCCTAATGGTCCAAAGCTCTGACTCTCTTCCTGGCCCCCACATATCCTATTCTTCCTGCCAGAAACCCTTTCTCCCCATCCTGTAAATTCCTATGCCAAGGAACGATTACCCTAAGCTGAAAAGACAGACTCCTGTCGATAACGATCATTAGTCCATGTTCCCTATATGCAACTCTCTGTATTAGTTAAGAGTTTTAACTATCCTATTCCTGTAACTACAATGACCAGATTTTGCAAACTAAAATTCTAAAGAACAAGAATGAATTTTGGACAACAGGACTATCTTGAAATACCTTAGCATTATATAACTCCCATTTTAGAGCACTGGACATTTAGAACACTGGCCTTCCCTCACTGGGGACAAGGGATGCTGTGTGATTCCAAAAGAACAGAGGACGGCAGTTGCTGCTGGCACATTCCGTGGAATGGGCTTGACCGTTAGTCCAGTGTTTTGGAGTAAGATGTTCTGCTGAAGAATAATTGTGGAATTGTTTTATGCCTGCCCAAAGAAGAGGTGCCAAAAATAAAACAAAGCAACACACACACACCTTGATGGACCTTAGGAATGTAAGTCATCTTTGAGGTGCCCAGAACCAGCTCCCTCTCTTGAAGAAAGAAGGAGCAGAGAGCCCTCTACTTGCCTTAACCTGCCCTAGGACATAGCCTTATAGTCCAAGACCAGAGTGCAATCGGCCCTTTGTTGGGGTTAAAAAGGAAACACAGGCACCCGGTAAGGAGGAATAGAAGTGGTTCTAGGTTCAGAATGAATGGACCAGCCTACCTGGACCTGTACTAATTTGAACCCAGAAGTTCTGGGCAAGTGGGCTGGGTTATGGCGAGATTTGAGCACAAAGAGAGATCTCCTAGGAACCCCCAGTGACAGACGTCCTTGGTGGAACTTACCACAAAGGCAAGGAAATGATCTTCCCTCAAAGATTCCTTGGGGGCCCTCATGTTAAGTAAAATATGCCAGAGAAAGATGAATACTGTATGATCTCACTTACATTTGGAATCTGAAAAAAAACAACCCAAAAACCTAAAAACTTCCAAGTTATAGAAACAGGGATCGGATTGGTGGCTGCCAGAGGCAGGAGGTGGGGAGCGGGGATGTGGGGTAAAGGTGGTCAAAGGTATAAGCTTCCAGTCATAAAATAAATAAATTCTGGGACGTCACGTAGAACACAGCCACTACGGTTAACAATACCGTACTGCGTATTTGCAAGTCACTAAGAGAATCAATCTTGAAGGTTCTCATCACGAGAAAAAAATACTGTAATTCTGCCAGGTGATGGATAGTGACTAAACTTATTGTGGTGACCACTGTATTCTATATATACATACATCAAATTAGCATGCAACACAGCTTCAAGTGATAAAATTACATCTCAGTAAACCTGAATAGACAAGAAGAGCCCCAAGGCCTTGTGAGTAGACACGATCCACAGTGACCTGGCATCAGCTGCTGGAATATGCTGGTTCTCAACAGACATGTGATGCGGCTTGAGGGCCAGTTAATCCACAACAGTGGGCTGACTCTAATTTTACATCAGGTTCTAGACTCTTCTGATAATTATGGAAAAAAAAATCATGGTTCGCTTATGGGTTTACTCAAGATCATACAATGAATACTGAGTAGAGGTAGAAACAACAGAAGTGAGTCGGTGAAGACTAGGAGGTGGGGGAGGGGGAGGGGGGTAGTGCATTGTGCAGTCAAAAACACAGAAAGAGGGGCACCTGGGTGGCCCAGTGGGTTAAAGCCTCTGCCTTCGGCTCAGGTCATGATCCCAGGGTCCTGGGATCGAGCCCCGCATTGCGCTCTCTGCTCAGCAGGGAGCCTACTTCCCTTCCTCTCTCTCTGCCTGCCTTTCTGCCTACTTGTGATCTCTGTCTGTCAAATAAATAAATAAAATATTTAAAACACACACACACACACACACACACACACACACACACATACTCAGAAAGACAGGTGGGAAGGGAAGGACCTAGGCAGTCAAGGACTGTTCCTTACAATGTTTTGATGGTCTCTGGCTCTGCCTAGAGCTACTGGAAGTTAGGCCATATCCCATCAAGTCGGCATAAAGCCACGGTGAGGAAAAGTGGTTTCTGGACAGAGGAATGTGACGGAAAATGAAAGCAACATGACCAGACCTCATTATCTTGGTGCTTTTGATAACACTGGAGAGCAGAGTTAGATTTTGAATGGACTGAAATCTTCCATAAATGGAATCTGAATGCAGGCTACGTAACATCCAGAAATTCCTCAGGGAATTTCCTATTATGTACATGGAAGGGGGAATGAAGCAAGTCCCATCTGGCTAGGCAGAGAACATTCTCTGCTTAGGGAAACTTCATGGTTCTTGTGTTTAGTGCCAACGGCATGTTCATACTAGACCCAGGCCCTGCACACAGAGGTGTAAGTGTATTGAAAAGTGAGCTAGACGGAACAGACAATGCTGGGCAATTCTTTGTCTCTGGAACATCCAAACCAGAAGGCCAGATACTAATAAGGGTGTTGTTTTTATAAAGTCTCTGACGAGTTATGAGCCAATGTATGACCCATGTTACTCAGAGTTGCTACAGCAAAATAGAGTGACGGTATATTTTCCGATTAGCTTCCTATCAATACACAAGCTAAAATCAAGAACGGACCAACACACATCATTCAGTGACTCCTGCTCTTTGGGACTGACAACCTTAGGGAAACCTCAGAACTTTAAAGATACAATGACATTAGCCTTATTGGGGAAAAAAAAAGGCACTGGTGGGGAAGGTGACTCAGCTCACACGTCACCTGATCAAAGAGGTCTCCTCTGACAAATCTAAAGTACTGAACTCCATTCCTTTTTTTTTTCTAGATTTTTATTTATTTATTTGACAGACAGAGATCACAAGTAGGCAGAGAGAGAGGAAGGGAAGCGAGCTCTCCGCTGAGCAGAGAGCCTGATGCGGGGCTCGATCTCAGGACCCTGAGGTCATGACCTGAGCCGAAGGCAGAGGCTTTAACCCCCTGGGCCACCTAGGTGCCCCTGAACTCCATTCTTCACCCCATAGTCACTTTGAGTTACCCCAAGACACATTACGTTTGAGAACTATCAAGTTATCTTGTATTGTCCCTCATGCCTATTTGAATACAGGGACAGGGATTTTGCCTGGTTCATTCCTCTGTTCCTAATACCCACCAAGGCTGGCACAGAGTAAGTCTTCAGTGATATCTAACGACTGCCTTTCCAGCTGCCAAAGAACAAAGAGCTTAATCATGTGTAACTGAAAACTTTGTGGATTCCAGAAAAACCGGCATTCCCAACAATGCATCAAAACATCCCATATTGCGATGAAAAGTCTTTTCCGTTATAGATGTGACGGAACTTGAGTCCATACCTAGAGGCCAACTGAAGCAACATCACTCCAGGTGTGGCCCGGGATCAGCTAGCTCTGCATCACTTGGGCAGCTTGCTAGAAAAGCAAAACCGGGGCTCCACCAGAAAGCCAGTGAATTAGATATCCGAGGGGGAGCCCCCAAAAATCAGTGTTCAAGAAGTTCGCCCCGTGATTGCAGGTACCATAAAGTTTTGCACAAGTTATTTAGAAATAAAGGTGAGGGAAAAAAAACGAGAAATGCCGTAAGGACTAAACTCTCCAGGGACAGCTGGCACATTCTTGTTGTCATTTCAGTAAGAAACATGAAGAAAAAGGAAGAGGATGAATTATACTCAAAATTATATGCATGAGTGTGGTTCACGCGTGCCATGGGGTAATGCCCCACATTCTGTTTCATGGAGGCTTCCCAGAGCTAACTAAGCAACCAGCACAGTGACCGTGCTCCCATGTACAGACTCCCGCTTCACGCGACTTCCCCTCCTTCGGGGGGCAGCACTCTCTAGGAACTGTCCTTGAGGCGAATGACCAGGCCCCCTGAGCCAAAGCAGCCCCGTGCGGGATGTGAGGGCACCGTGTCCTACCGTGATTCAGATGTCTGATGCAGTCACTGAGGACAGCGCTGAACTTCTTCTGGTCCGCAGCCTCATGGAAGCAGAAGTAGCCATGTCTGAGGAACGGCTGCCACAGGTACACTGGGAATTCCTTGGGCAAGACCACGAAAGGCTGGGTGTTGTCCTTCTCACTGGAGGCTAAGGCAATGTGGAAAACACAAAGACATTCTTTTTTAAATTTTATTTATTTATTTAACAGAGAGAGAGGAGAGTACACCCGTAGGTAGAGCTGCAGGCAGAAGCAGACACCTTGCTGAACAGGAAGACTGACGGGGGTTTGGATCCCAGGACCCTGAGATCATGACCTGAGCCAAAGGCAGATGCTTAACCATCTGAGCCACCCAGGCGCCCCAACGCAAAGACATTCTAAAACGTGTGTCTTTTATTTAAAATACTTATTTCGGGTCCTGAAGGAAGCTCTTTGGGGCAGGCCGTGGGACAGAAAGGTGATATGAGATGTCTTCCCAAGATGGCGGGAGATGGCCGTTCAGGCTCTTCTCACTCCCTCCACAGGTAACTGTCTCATTCCAGACAGTAGCCTCATCCCCTCCCTGACAGGGACAGCCAAGGCCAGCAGACATCGTCTTTCTCAACTTCCTCATATCAAGGATCCGCAAACAGAGTCTGGGTGTCCCCGCTAAACCTCTTCAGGCTCACCGGCCTGCACAGTCACTCACCCTCCAGTCCCCACAGGCTCCCCTTCCGCCAGCTGCCCTCTGCCCTGCGCTCCCTGATTCCTCTCGCTCACTGCCAACCCAACACTTGCTTCTTCCTGCCTCAGTCTGGTTCCTGCCCCACCAGTCCCAAAACCCCATGGCTGAGGTCACTGATGTTGTCCTAACTGCCAACCTGTGGCTTCTTCTTCATTACCTAAGCCTTTTTATTTTTCCTCATGATCTAAGACTTCTAACCTGATCTGAAGTATCTGTTGCTGCTATCTGTCCCTTCTTTCGAAAACATTCTCTCCCCTTGACTCGCAGGATCACCTCTCTCCCAGCACTTGCTTCGATAGCACATATACTAAAATTGGAACGATACAGAGAAGATTGGCAAAGCCCCTGCGCAAGGATCACCTCACCCCTGATGTCCTTCGTGCTTTTAAAAAATTGTTTCAGGGGCACCTGGGTGGCTCAGTGGTTAAGCCTCTGCCTTCAGCTCAGGTCATGATCCCAGGGCCCTGGGATCGAGCCCCACATCAGGCTCTCTGCTCCGCGGGGAGTCTGCTTCCTCCTCTCTCTGCCTGCCTCTCTGCCTACTTGTGATCTCATTCTCTCTCTCTCTCTCTGTCAAATAAATAAAATCTTAAAAAAAAAAATTGTTTCAAACTGGTCTGCTCTATTGGCTCCCTCGGCCCCTTCTCTCCATCCTCCTGTGAAGTGTTGGTGTTCGCCCTGCTCTGTCCTGGTTTCACTCCATTTTGATTAGTCTCTGCTCTCCTTTGGCATGGTCCTCCACTCCGTGATATGGAATGTTGTTTCTGCAGGTCCTATTTCCCTTCCCTCTACCCTTTCCACCATGCCTTCTCCTAGAAGATTCTCATTCATCCTTCAAAAGTCAGTTCAAAAATAAATTTTAAAAAACAATAATAATTTAAAAAAAATTTTTTTTAAAAGTCAGTTCAAAAGCAGCTCCTCTGGATGCCTCTGCTGGTACCTCCCCACGCCCTAGAGACAGGGTTGAGTGCTCCCTACTTTGTTCTTCCTAAATATTGTACAGATTTGTTTTCATGTCTGGCACTGACACACAGGGTGGAGGGCCCAGGGTGACAGGAGCTCCCCCACTGGTTCTCACACAGTTCCCCTCCCCAGGAAGCAGTACCAGTGCCCTGGAACTCTAAGAGGATGGAAACCACACCTTATGTACCTTTGGACGCTTAGCCCTTAGCAAAGCCGTGGAACCGAGGAGATATTCAACCACAGTTTGTTGATTAAACATGCTATGTTGTCCTAGAAAATCTTAGAAGCTTTAAATGATGGATTTTTACCACTTACTCAAAATCAATTCTAAGAAACTCATATTAAACCATGCTACTATTCAGATCCCTACCTAAATTTTATTCCCTTCCATGCACTCTGGTTATATGATATTACTCTGGGTTAAACAACCCCCAGCTTATTAGCTCACACTCTCTACCTACATAAAATGGGCACCAACCTCAGGGAAGGGAAGGACCAAAGGGCCCTCTGAGAGGCCACTGAAAGCACCAGGCATACCTAACAATGAATCAGAGCCACATGGGAGACTCCAGAACAGAGTCTTGCTCCTGAATCAGAGCCACATGGGAGACTCCAGAACAGAGTCTTGCTCCTGGCAAATCTATAAATCAAGATTGGGTAAATAAAAAATAGATATCCTGGGGCATATATGGGGACTCTGGTTCAATGTCCTTAAATCTGAAGGGAACAAAGTAGAATTCGCTAGAATCACAAACTTGGGTGCACCAGTACCTCACAAACTACTTGGCACATAATATAAGAACGAATCACTGTGGGCGCCTGGGTGGCTCAGTGAGTTAAAGGCTCTGTCTTTGGCTCGGGTCATGATCCCAGGGTCCTGGGATCGAGCCCCACATCAGGCTCTCTGCTCAGCAGGGAGCCTGCTTCCTCCTCTCTCTCTCTCTGCCTGCCTCTCTGCCTACTCATGATCTCTATCAAAAAAATAAATAAAATCTTAAAAAAAAAAAAAAGAATCACTGTACAAACAAACAAATGAATCAACAATTAAATTCAGTAGCACAAACCTGTAGTTGTAACACATTGTCTGATGAGGAAGCAGAAGGCAAGCTGAGGACCAAGCAAACTACCCCCTCCCCACCGCCCCCAACTCCCAGATGGGATGTGTGTGACATTCCTCAAGCAGTCCTGGCAAGGGAAGGGAAAAACAGAGGGTTAAATGACAGAGATCACAGTCCTGCAGGACATGGTCTCCATCAGTTACCAAGATCTTAGTGATTTACAAAGAAAAAGCATTCTGACCAATAGCAGAACTTCCAGAGACCCATAACTCACCCTAACATCACCCTCTCTTCCATGAGTGATGGGGGAAACTGAGGCAGAAGGGAAAGTGAACAAAATTAAATTTCTTTATGACCTGCAGCCCTACGACAAGGATCTGAGACAGGCAGCGCATAACATTCCTTCAGGAAGCTCCCAACTGTCTTAACGTTAATGCTTTACTACTAGAAGGAAAAACGAGCCTCCAATATCCTGCCGTCTTCTTTAGCATATGAAAGTCCTTTCAGACACCTTCCCTTGTCCTTAAGTCCCCCAACTCCCAAGTATATCATCAGCCATTCCTCAAGACCCCAGTACCGCAGCTCTTTCTGCCCACGGGGCCGCCCCCAGACTTTCATAAAATCGCCTTGTTATACCAAAGACGTCTCGAGAATTCTTTCTTGGCCATTGGCTCCGGACTTCACCAACATTCCAAAACTATAGCATTATGTCTTTTCCCCTTCTTTCTTGGTTATAAAATCCCTAATTTCCTGTTGAGTAAGTGACCGTGTACGATAAAGACTACATTTCCAAGGGCGCCTGGGTGGCTCAGTGGGTTGAAGCCTCTGCCTTCGGCTCGGGTCATGGTCTTGGGGTTGTAGGATCGAGCCCCACATGGGGCTCTCTGCTCAGCAGGGAGCCTGCTTACCACCCCCACACCCCCACCCCTGCCTGCCTCTCTGCCTACTTGTGATCTCTCTCTCTCTCTCTCTGTGTCAAATAAATAAATAAAATCTTAAAAAAAAAAAAAAAAGATAAAGACTACATTTCCAGCTTCGATCGCAACTTGGTGGGTCCCAGCCACTAAGTTGAGTCAATGGGACAGAAACTGAAGAGGCCGTGAAACTACCTGGAAGGATCCTTAAAGAGAGGGAAGGCTCCACCTCCTTCTCTTTTCTCCTGCCTGCTTTCTGGAACGAGAAAACCATCCCTAACACTCCAACAGCCCCCTTAGACTGTATCAGTAAGGGCCACAGCCTAGACATACAGAGAGACAAGGCAGAAAGAGTCCCTGACATTTACGGAACTGCCACACCAGCCCTGGACTTGTAATATCCAAAATATCTTTAGCAAGAAATAAAGCCTTACGTATTTGAATCTTTGGTTGTTTGCAGCAAACTAGACTCTAACTAACGAAATGTCACGTAAGTGAATCACTTCAGCAAAATATGAAGGCATTATTGCTACATCATCTTAGTAGAATACTGCGTAAAGAAGACATATTTATTCATAACCTCTAGTGCTTTTTCTCAAGTGAGGTTAATGCCTTCTATCTTTATTGTGTCTTTATGCTTTCCTGTTGAATTTGCATCACACAGCGAATCTTCCTGATCAACATGATTTTATGGTACAATTCCCCTCGCCCTTCCTAAGATGTCAGAGTTTTGTACAAACAACTCAAAAGCTGCACTGACCCTTTAAAAGCTTCACGCCCCATAAAATTCACTCTTCTTAGCCTCTAGTTATCTCTCATTTAACATTTTACAACAATTTTCCAGATGCCATCATTCTGCATTTTTTCTGAGTTGAGTACCAAAGATATTACAAATGATTTACTGTAGAATATTCTATTTTTAAAATTCAGATGGCCATGCCATACAATTAAAAAAAAAAAAATCCTTGAAATACCCCAATCTGAAGCCTTGGGTCAAATGGCTTTAGTCACACAGGCTTTTTTTTTTTTATTCCTATTCATTCCTTCTGATATGATTTCACCAATAAATCAATAAATATATTGTCCATTCTGATGGATTGCATTGAAAAGTTCTACTGGAGAAATTCCCAAGAGTCATCAAGTTGGCATTCCCATTTCTAGCAGCAGCTCCAGAGCCAAGATGACATACAAGTAGATGTTGAAAGAAAATATAATAATATGTATAGTGCACATAAAGTATTGTTTTAGCCTGAATTACTTAGTAATAGTTTGTTAATCTAGGTTTATGGCCCATGTACTAATCCTATAATAGTCCTATTAAAAACACTATGCTAAGCATTCTACACCAAAATAACAATTGATAGAATGATTATATTTTTCTCCATAAATTCTAATGATATGATTATGCCCATTAATAAGAACCAGGGCGCTCTTCAAGAAACCAAGTAATTACCGTGTGGTATGATTTACACAAAGCCAGATGGAGTTATTATCCACAGTTCATGAATCTCTATGAAACGCGCTATTTGGTCTCTATATTATCCATCCCTTTCTCTACATGCAAAAAGTGGAATAAATGAGAATCCGAGAATGTTAGAGCTGGAAAGACCTTTCTACGTTTTAAAGTTCAAGGGCCTAGAATGGGAGAATCAGAAAGCAGAGAAGCTGAGCAACGGCTGGGGAAAAAACACTGATAAGTGTTGCAGAACTAGATAAAAATCCAGCTTCTAAATTTATAGTTCAATACTCTTTCCATGACAGCAGTTATTACTTCCAGTTATTACTTCCAGATTAATGCAATGCTATTTTTATACAGGAGATATGAGCGACTGTAATGCTTGTTTAAAGCATTTTGTCAGTTCAGGATACTTTATTGCATATCATCCTAAAATTATAAAAATAATATTCCCTGACAGATCTGGACCTGCTTGCTTAAAGGTGGGATTGCGTACTTCACAGAAATAGGGCCCTACCTATTTGTTTCTGCTGCCCCATGTGATGTGATTAAAGTCAGGATGCCTGACAACTGAATGGTACATTTTCCATGGGCTAGAACCTGACTTGTACCTGACTTGTGTGTTACTGAATGTGATTTACAATAGCAGAAGTGGTAAAACGTTTACCCAAATTAGAGAACTTGCATCTCCCATTTGTCTACAAAGAAAGAGTGGCTAGCCCAGAGTTTCTCAACCTCAGCAACTATTCGACAGTGAACGTCTTCTGACAGATACTTCATTGTCAGGGGCTGTCCTACGCAGGAGAGCCTGCTGCCCTCTACCCACTAAATGTTTATAGCACCAGCCTCCCAAGATGTAACTAGACCAAAATTGTCTCCAGACTCTGTCAAATATCCCCGCAGAGTGAAATCCCTTCCCCCACTGAGAACCACTCCTCCAGCGAGACAAAGCCAGTGTAGGAATTTTGCCTCGAGAAAGAATGCTCAGTGACTCACCAATAGGGTCGGGGAAGAACCGATCAGATAACAAATTATATTCATCTTCTGAGGTTAACACCTTGCCCCCAGCTGGAAGAATTCGGCTTTTAGGAGTCGCTCCTTTCTGATAGGCCTGGGGAGAAAAAGGCATAAATAGGTGATTTTTTTTTCCCCATTTGGATTTTTGGAAAATACCAGGAATATTAGAAGGAGACACAGGCACACACACTCAGAGATAACAGTTCCTACACTATGTCTCTGAAGAAGAGCCACATATTTTAAAAATATGTTTTGTGTACCTGTGACTTGCAAAGTACTTTAGTGATGGTCCCAACATGGTAAATCAGAGTCCTTAATCTCAAGAAATTCACTCTAGGTATGTTTCTCTAGTGGGGAAAATATCATCTCAGTAACTTCCAGAAATCCTGCACCACACTTACCATTTCAGACGCTAGCACCTGAATCATTAGCATAACCACAAGGGTGATGACACACACAGACACTTACTGCACAAAAGGCTTGGGGACCGATGACGAATGACATGGGGGACATATAATTGCAATGATGGTTGCCATGGATTTTCACCCAAAACAGAAAAGTGTTGCCATGATAAGACATGACACCGTGTGAGACTGTTTTGCAGTAAAATGATCTGGGTTGGAAACGCAATATCATGACATTAGAACAAATTGGGAAAAGTAGAAGAGGGGCAGAGAGGGGTACCTTGGTCACTTACCATCAATAAGATGGTAAGTGAGGAGTCCCAAACAAAACAAATTCTTCTCTTTTAAAAAATTTTTTTAAAGATCTTATTTATTTATTTGAGAGAGAGTATGGAGGGGGGCAGAGCAGAGGGAAAGGGAGAAGCAGACTCCCCGTGAAGCAGGGAGCCTGGTGGGGGGACCCTGGGAACATGACCTGAGCCGAAGGCAGATGTTCAACCAACCAAGGTGCCCAGGTGCCTGGGTCATTTCCCATTTGTAAGAAGCACTACTCAACTGCGTAAGCACATCAGGGACCCAGGGCACAAAGTTGTGACTTTGAGAATGCCTAGGAGCAGTTCAGCTCAGACTGGCCTTAAGACTGAACTGCATTATTTGTTCTAACAGGCCCTAATCTGGACTTTTATAAACATTATGTTATTTAATACTCAAAACAGCACTAAGAATTAGTTTCTTCCAGCTTAGCAAACTCAACACCCAAAGAACAAATAATCCAATCAAGAAATGGGCAGAGGACATGAACAGACATTTCTGGAAAGAAGACATCCAGATGGCCAACAGACACATGAAAAAGTGCTCCATATCACTTGGCATCAGGGAAATACAAATCAAAACCACAATGAGACATCACCTCACACCAGTCAGAATGGCTAAAATTAACAAGTCAGGAAATGACAGATGCTGGCGAGGATGCGGAGAAAGGGGAACCCTCCTACACTGTTGGTGGGAATGCAAGCTGGTGCAACCACTCTGGAAAACAGCATGGAGGTTCCTCAAAATGTTAAAAATAGAACTACCCTATGACCCAGCAATTGCACTACTGGGTATTCACCCTAAAGATACAAACGTAGTGATCCAAAGGGGCACGTGCACCTGAATGTTTATAGCAGCAATGTCCACAATAGCCAAAGTATGGAAAGAACCTAGATGTCCATCAAGAGATGAATGGATAAAGAAGTGGTATAAATACACAATGGAATACTATGCAGCCATCAAAAGAAATGAAATCCTGCCATTTGCGACGACGTGGATGGAACTAGAGGGTATTATGCCTAACGAAATAAGTCAAACGGAGAAAGACAACTATCATATGATCTCCCTGATACAAGGAAGTGGAGATGCAACATGGGGTGTTTGGGGGGTAGGAAAAGAATAAATGAAATAAGATGGGATCGGGATGGAGACAAACCATAAGAAACTCTTAATGTCACAAAACAAACTGAGGGTGGCTGGGGGGAGGGGGGAGGGAAAGGGTGGTGGGGTTGTGGGCATTGGGGAGCGTATGTGCTATGGTGAGTGCTGTAAAGTGTGTAAACCTGGCGACTCACACACCTGTACCCCTGGGGCTGATAATACATTATATGTTTATAAAAAAATAAAAATTAAAAGAATTAGTTTCTCCCTCCATTTTATAAATGAGAAAATTCAAGCTCAAAGAACATGTCAATGGCCCGGTAGTGAGCTGATGAAAATCTTGGGTTCACATCCGGGTCTGTCCATAAAGTATACAGGAATTAGGACATGAATCCTGAATGAGAACGTTTCATTTTTTTCCTGATTAATTACCTGCCAAAACTGGATTCTCAATGAAATAATAGGCAATTTATGGGTACTTAATATGTAACTCTTCGGTATAATAAAAAAATGCCTTTCTATAAATTAAAAAAACAGGATATTATTAAAACTGCGGGGAATTATGGCAAACTGCATGAGCATTTTTTAAAATTTCCAAGTTTTGGGGACACCTGGGTGGCTCAGTGGGTTAAAGCCTCTGCCTTCAGCTCAGGTCGTGATCCCAGGATCCTGGGATCAAGCCCCCTATTGGGCTCTCTGCTCAGCAGGGAGCCTGTTTCCCTTACTCTCCCTCTGCCTGCCTCTCTGCCTGTGATCTCTGTCTGTCAAATAAGTAAATAAAATCTTTAAAAAATAAATAAATTAAATAAAATAAAATTTCCAAGTTTTTAACAGACCGAAGTGCCCCTGAGTTGCCCCACCAGATGCTCCTGTAAAATTTCCAAGTTTTTAAAAAAAATATATAGCTTTCACCAAATTCAGTGACCATATCTTAACAACCTGAACAAGTTTATTTAAAGGTTTTTGTTTTATTTTGTTTTGGACAGAGAGAGACACAGCAAGAGAGGGAACACAAGCAGAGGAAATGGGAGACAGAGAAGCAGGCTCCCCGCTGAGTAGGGAGCCCAGTGTGGGGCTCGATCCCAGGACACTGGGATCACTAGCCTAGCGGAAGGCAGATGCTTAACGACTGAGCCATCCAGGTGCCCCTGAACACGTTTACTTAAAAATGATAAGCAAGCAAAGAAAGCAAGAGAGTCCATAAATTGCAAGTTGAAGGAGCAAGCTAGAAAAAAATGAAGAAGGAAAAAGTCCCAAAACCTGGGGGGCGCCTGGGTGGCTCAGTGGGTTAAGCCTCTGCCTTCGGCTAGGGTCACGATCTCAGGGTCCTGGGATCGAGTCCCGCATCGGGCTCTCTGCTCGGCGGGGAGCCTGCTTCCTCCTCTCTCTCTCTCTCTCTGCCTGCCTCTCTGCCCACTTGTGATCTCTCTCTGTCAAATAAATAAAATCTTTAAAAAAAAAAAAGTCCCAAAACCTGATTCAAAATTAAAAGTTCAGGTAGCCCCAAATGTGCTAAAAACCTTAACAAGTTTGAGTGTTTCCTCTCAATTAGTTAGTAGCAATCATATCGTAACGGCCCCACACTTGGCTCCACCAGTGGTTGACCATACGCTAAGTGCTTCAATATGCTCATTTATTTAATCCTTACAACAACACGGTCACCATTTTACAGATGAGGAAACGGAGGCTCAGGGAGATTTATAACTTAAGCAAGGACACCTATCCAGTAACTGGCAAAGGTGTGATTCAAAGCACATTATATTAACCATTATGATCTACTGCCTCTTCTCAAGCTTCCCGGAAAGAACACTGTAATGTGCCACATAAAATATGAGGTGATTTCTTTTATTTTTTTAAGATTTTACTTATTCATTTGAGAGAGAGAGGGAGCACACATGGGAAAAGGAGCCCAATGCGCGACTTGATCCCAGGACCCCGGGATCGTGATCTGAGCAGAAGTCAGACACTTAACTGACTGAGCCACCCGAGCACCCCTGAGGTGATTTATTATTATCATTATTGTATGTAGTGCATTGATCATTTGCTTCTGAGAGCAAATCAAGCGCTGAATAAAGTCCTAATATAGAGAAGCAGAGAAGATATTCGCTTAATGAATGTTGAAAAGAGTAAGACTACCCAGGAGAGCACTTGAACATTGCCTAGTAGCCTGTGGAATAAGTTCAAACTGTATTTTGCTTCTATTTCCCATCAGAAATGGAAAGGAAACACACTGACTTGCCAATCTTAAGTTTCTTCCTGAGGCTTTAGCATCTGAGGTATTATTGAAAGTATCCATGGAGGTCACCCTGACTTCTCACAAACTTGGAGTCCAGAAAGCAGAGTTTTAAACCTGGTACCACCTTTAACTGATAAACAGTAACTATTCACTCCAAAGGGAGCTTGAGGATCTATGTAGACCAAAAATGGGCACAGCGCAAGATCTGGAAGGAACCAGTGGGATCATTCCGCCTGACTCTCTGACGTAACTGAGGCCCAACCTAAACTTTCATTTTCCCAATTCACCGCCCAGTGTTCTCTCCTCTAGAACCAAATGACCTCCCGACGTGGGGAGAGAAATGGGAACCAACAAAAACAGAAGTCCTCCCAGGTGCTAGGCACGTTATACATGACCTCATTTTCTCCATAGCTTGCAGACATCTTACATTAGATAGTCATCTAATGATTTTACAGAAAAATCATATGATAACCAGGAAAAAGTTAAATGAAAAAAAAAATCTGGGGACGCCTGGGTGGCTCAGTCGTTGAGCGTCTGCCTTCGGCCCGGGTCACGACCCCGGAGTTCTGGGATCGAGCCCCGCATCGGGCTCCCTGCTTGGCAGGAGGCCTGCTTCTCCCTCTCCCACTCCCCCTGCTTGTGTTCCCTCTCTTGCTGTGTCTCTCTCTGTCAAATAAATAAATTAAATTTAAAAAAAATCCGTTAAGTATAAGTGGAATAAAGTCTTAAAATGCCCGACTTTCTGGTAACCCATGCAAATGCAGTCATAGTCTTATTAACTCCTCAGCTGCTTGTCACATAGGAGGCTTACTAGTAAGAAGACATGGAGACACTGAGCAGAGAGGGAAACATATCAGAGCAGTGACAAAAGACCTTGAAGCTGAATGATCCTAGGAAAGACTCCTGCACTGGTCACTTAGTGTAACCTATTTTCACACTTACTTGCAATTACTCGTTCCAAGTCTGCTTTGCCCATTGGACTACAAGCATCTGTTTCACCTGCTTTTAGAGGCTCAGAACCTTCTCGAACACTTGGCATATAATAGGCATTCAATAAACATGTTAACGAAAGTAAGTAGCTGCATGAGTGAGTGCTTATTGAAGGAATCAGTCTCGAAGGAGAAGGCATGTCCATCAACCCAGCCAATGTTGAAGAATGTTGTAAGGACCAGCGCAAACAAGGAAACATCTTACCTCTTTGTTCTCATAGCTCTCCACAGCAAAATCATTTTTAACCACAATGTACCGCTCCTTCCATTTCTTTATGTCTTCAGCAAACTGGGATAGCTCTGCTTCATATAGAACAGTTCCAGGCTCCAATGGCGGCTTTAAAGAAGGTAAATACCATTAATCATAACAACAAAAGATAACACAGCATGCTGTCACCAACTCTATCCACTGGAGTTCAAGGAATGTTTTAGGAAACTATCTTGTCCTGAGATCCTGGGGACATTGTTGCTTCCCCCACCTCCCTCCCTACTTCTGCTCCCTGCTCCCTCTGACCAAATGCAAATATTTGTCTTATTGATATATTTGTGATTTCCATTTCCCTCCATTGTGCTGCAAGAAGAGAAGCAGATGGTAGAAGGGGTTGTAGTAATAAGGTTGTGCCCTTGTATACATGTCACTTAATGATAAACTGTGGAAGAGGTAGTTAAGTGTCAATTGTGGCTGTATACCCCCAACACCTTGAATATGCCTGAAAACAGGAGAATTAATAGGCTGCTCCCTTATCGGCCATACCTTCAGGTATAGCCTCGTGGGTCAGTGGTCTTTTCAGATCCAAAAGCCCTGGGGACACAGTCTGTAAACACTTGCCCCATCTACGTGCTCTTCAAGGAGACCAAGTTTGCCCTCTGGTTGAAGAACGAGCAGGCTAGCCAGCAAACTCCAGTTCTACATTTCTCCTTAAGTAAAACTTTAATGATTCCTCGTTAACCCTGGTGACATATGTGCTATAGGGAAGTCTCTGCCAGTTTCTTAGTTAGGCCTCCCTTTGGGCTAACTGTGTGAGGGATAACTCCCATCCTTTCTCATAGTAAAATCCCTGTATTATCTTAAAATACAGGAATGGGCTTCCTGTCTTTCACATGTCACTGAATTTACATCTCTTTTCCCTTTATTTAAAAATCAAAGGGCTTTTAGAAACCTATCTCTCCACCTTCAAGTAAAATTTGCATAAACCATATGGAGAAGACAGATATGCTAATCTTTTTAAGAATTGACTAAGGGATGAACTAGACTGCCTTCTGAATTTATTCTGTCCTGACAGATAAAGAGGCAGTTTTCCTATCTGGACTCATTAACAGGTAAGAGAGGATCTCAATCTTCCCTTTAACTGAGACTGAACCCATATATAGGTTGATTTTATAGTTTTATGTGCAGCATTTTTTTTTTTTAACCTGGGCCACTCAAATCAACCGATAGGCTTTTAAAAATGTGGCCTTACCCTAAATTTACTATATCAGAATCTCTGGGGTATGGGCCAAACTTTGCATTTTTAACAAGCTCCTTATGCTGTGAGACTCACTGCTTTTTTGGAATGACACTCAGTTATCCCTACACATCCATGCTGCTAAACCTATTGGTCACCTTAACATCTGAGCAGTGTCTGACCCATTTATATCTCCCTCCTTCTTGGAAGCCCTTCTTTCCTCTTCCTGATTTTTCTCCTCCTGCAAGGCTATTTCCTACCAATCCATCTTGCTGCATCCTTCTCCTTTTCTTGGTCTCCAAGTGTCGGCTAATTATCTATTCAATATTTCCACAGGTCAATGTCAAATATGCATATGTCAAATATGCATCTCAAACTTACGTGGCCAAAAGGGAACTCATGATTCCCACCCACTTCTGACTCTTCCTTTGAGTAAAAGGCAACTCCTTGTACTTATTTGCTCAAGCTAAAAACCAAGACATCATCCCTGATTTTCTCTCTTCTTCTATAATGTCCTGTCCAATCCATCGGCCAGTTCCATCAACTCTAGCTCAAGTCCATCTTGACTTGGGCCTTTCCTCACAACTGCTACCATCACCACCCAAATCCAACTTGCCTTCACCAATCTTTTCTTGCATTGCTACAGTGTCCTCCTCACCAGTCTACAAGCTCCCCTCTTATCCCTCATCATGGTCTATTCACTATAGAGAGCCCAGAGAGATCACTGAAAATTGCCAGTATTTGCAATTTTCTGTATTTGATATCCTCCAATAACTTCTCTTCTCAACTTTATTTACAAATAAAGACCCTTATCATGATCTACCGCTCCTCCATGGTCTGGTCCTTCCCTTTCGCTCCGTAATGATTTACCACCCTTCCTCCCTTGCTCATGCTGTTCACAGGACATAGTCTTCTTGATGTGCTTATGACTGCTATAGGGCCTTTGCACTTACTGTTCCATATCCTGCAGATACTCGCACAGCCTACTCTTATTTCACTCCAGTCCCTGCTCAAATTTCATCTTCATAGAGGCCTTCTCTGATCATTTTCTCTAAAATAAGACTCCTGCTTCATTTTTCTATGAGCATTTATTATGACCTGATACCACCTGGTATGTTTCTTTATTTGTTTACTGTCTGTCCCCTATTTTTTAATATATACAGGAAAGCAGAGAATTTATCTTGATCCCCAATTCTTGGAATAGGGCCTGACACATAGTAGGTATCAATGAATATGTGTTGAGGTTGTGGGTAATTATTGTCATGGAGCAAAGGAGAAAGAATTAATCAGGAGATTTGAAAAAAAAATCATATTTGATCAATGACCAAAACAAAAATGCCCATAATATAAGGCACTAAAATTATGACTTTTTTTTAAACTGAACTTCACTACAGCAAGTCAGATTTCCTGATATTAGAATATCAGTGTGGGAAAAACAATAAAATTGGATCACACTAATTTTCTAATATGGATTACACCATCAACAAGAAACCATACACTCTAACTTCTAGGCAGACAGAGTTGTTTGGTTTTTTCCAGAGTTTTTTGACCATGAAATGATTTGAGAAGAGATTTTTTTTTTAACTGCCATTTAAATTACTGTTTATTTCAGAAACGTTATGAGTTATAAAGCATTGTTCAGTGGGAGACATTGTCAACCAAATGTCCATGGGTTACCTTGGTCTTCAAAAACTGTGAGGTTAAATCTCTTTGCTGTTCTACTTCACTGCGTACATGATTGCAGAAAGCCACAGAGTACTGGCGACTATAGTAGGGACTGAAGTTTTTGATAGTAGCCTCAGTTTTCCCTAGAAAAATATGAAAATGAGAAATTAGAAATACAGCCTCTCTTACAGAATAGGCACATATCTGCCCCTCTAAGACACTGTTTCCCAGGGATTTGTTATGAGTTCACATTCCCTAAGAACTTTGTAACATGCCATACGTGCCTTTCTCTCTCCCTCTCCCTGACGTCATCCTGAGAGACTCTGCTTTCCCTAAGGACCATCCATCCAGCAACCGATAGAAACTGTCTCCATCTTACATCAACAATGCATTGCCAAGGCCATAAATTTAGCCATCCTTCTACATCTTTCTACAGCTACCATTCTACTTCACCCGGTTCTCCACCTCAACTTGTTCTTCATCCCCCCCACCTCCAGTCATCCAACTCCTACACAGTCATCCCAGGGTCCACCATTCCAACTCCACACACACATCATTCTGTTTTTCTTCTGGTCCCTGAAGGTTTAATTCATCTTGCTGATCCACAGCCCTGGATAAAATCAACAAACTCTTTCTTCTAGTTCTGCCCCTATGTTTCTGGGTAAATTTTTTGTGTGACTCAAAGCCTTATATAATTACTATGAAGTAGAGGGAAAAAGCTTTGGTTTAACAGTGTAGAGACCTGAGCTGTGGTCCCAGTTCCAGGGAGACAGAAACCAGTTGGATGACCTCAGTCGAGTCCCTCGTTCTCTCTGGGCTCCAGTGTCCCTAACTATAAAGGCAGGTGCTCACTATTCTATACTTTACTTGGAAACTCTGTGACACTGAAGTATAACCATGAGTAGAGCTGCCTTACAAGAGTGACCAGCAATTGCAGCATGATCTCTCCACACCTGAAGAAAATAAAGATTAGGGTCAATCACAGAGGGAAAGGGGGTTGCTGGAAGACTCGAGACAGAAGAAGAGGGAGAGTCAGGCACTAGGAATATTCTTGAGCTTTTCCAACCTGGGCTTAGCTGTAGAGAGTAGGAAAATTGCAAAAGAGGGAAAGGGGAAAAAGAAATTGGGGAGGAAGGGCAAAGGAATATCTGAGACAGATTAGAAATCCTCACAACCTCTGAAGGACTTGCTACAAGGTGGAGAAATAAGCACAGGCCCCACTGACAGTGCTTACAAGCTGTTAGTCCTTGGAATACGATATTATCTTGAGGAAAAAAATAAACCCGATAGGACATTCCAAAATATTTTTAAATACTTTCATGTGTGGCATACTTTATTTTCAAATTTGATATAGTCACAGAGAAATATTAAAATAGACCATACCAGGAAGATTTGTTTAGAGCTATTACGCATGTAGAATTTCAAAAATAAGTGAAGAGTTCTGACTCCATAGATTGAGATATTCAGTATGAGAACCTTGAATTCATAGCTGCCAATTTCTATATCTATGGAATCATAGGTCCAAATACCCATAATATATGAGTAATCTTTTCATATGGAGAATCCTACTTTAGCTCAGGCATTCAGATCTCATACTGTGTATGAAGTAAAGGGGAATTCTTGCTTCTTTCCTCCATAAAATGACATTTTTTGGTTATATTTATGGGCTTTAATAACTATGACTTGAAAGGTGCTTTGAGACCCATTAATAATAGGTTCTGTAGAAATGCAAATAAAAGCTCCTACAATTTGAATCAGGCATGCTTTTGCTTGCTCTGTGAGTCCATGGTATGACTATTAATCAGTATTTGCATAACACTTTAATACACTCAGGCTTTATATTTATCTAATTGGTTAATATTTTATTAGCTTTTATATAGTGCATAAGAAATAAAATTCTCTTTCCTTGTCTATAATTTTCTTACATAGGAGTAGGATATCTTTAAGAATTCCCACAATAAGAATGAGTCTCGCCTCAATGAAACACATAAACAATTAACAAAATTTGCCCTTTGGAACTAAGTGACCACTATTTTGTCTAACAGAAGAGCAGCCTGCTAATTTATGATACCAATTTTTGCATTCTTGCAAGCAGTTGGATTTAAATGAAAGAATGTGGATGCCATTTTATTATAAGCTCTACAAAGCTTTGAAACTGGATTTCCTGCCACATCACAAAGCCTTAGTCAAGGATGCCCTGTTTCTACTGAGGTGTTACGATGCCACCTCTCCCTCCCACCGTATGAGAAAAATGCTTCTGTGATTTGAGCACCAGCACACCTTCCACCAGGCAGCATTTATAAAAAAAAGAGATTACAGCTTCCTTTGGTAATTAACCTAATGACTGGTTCAAAATGTGAATGAAACAGCTCACTCTAGCATAAGTTCGTAAGAACCCAAAGGGATTCTCAAAGTGTATCTAGATTTTAGATTAAGCCTATCTAAACCCAAATATAGGAACACCAAAGAAGATCTTGACATTTAGAGAAAAGTCTGGTCCTGGGGCAAAGTACACTGTGGTTAGGAGGATGGACTCCGGAGCCAGACAGACATAGGTTGAGTGCCATCTCTGCTGCTGACCAGCAGTGGGACCTTGTGCGAGTTAATTCCCCTTGTATAAAATGAAGACAAGAGGAACATTCTCATAGTGTCACTGTAGTTATTCACAAAATAATACAATAAACTGCTCAGTACGGTAGCTGGCACATAGAAAGTGCTCCATGATCATGATAATTATTAATTAATTCATTGATGATGAAGGTGGGGAGCACCCAAGCCAACAGCCAGCGGAGGTCCTTACACTGAACTAAGGAATCAGGGCGGAAACAAAAGCAGTTTGTCTTGTGTAACTCTTCAGCTGGGGCCATCCTGCCCAGCTGCATACAGAACAGCCCTCCCACTCACTGCAGGTTCAAAACAAACATAACCTACATTTTCACAGCTGTTTCAGGAACACTTGTCAGCACAGAAGGGACTCTCAGTGCATCCCTGAATGAAAACCAACTAAGTAGAACATTGGTATTAATGAAGCAGAGTGAAAAGCATGAGTTAGTTACTGTGTTACATTGAGCATCTCTCTCCCCGAGCCTCAATTCTCTCACCTGTAAAATGGGTAAATTGCCCATTTTCACAGGTTTTGTGAGGATTAAGTGAGATATTCTGTAGGTTAAAAAAAAAAAAAAAGTGTCTGGGATGCCTGGGTGGCTCAGTTCGTTAAGCAGCTGCCTTCGGCTCAGGTCATGATCCCAGCGTCTTGGGATCGAGTCCCGCATCGGGCTCCTTGCTCGACAGGGAGCCTGCTTCTCCCTCTGCCTCTGCCTGCCACTCTGTCTGCCTGTGCTTGCTCTCTCTCTCTCTCTGACAAATAAATAAACAAAATCTTTAAAAAAAAAAAAAAGTGTCTCAAGTAGTGCTTGACACTAGTTGCTCAATAAATTTTGACTATTATTACTATTACTAATAATACTAAAATATTTTGTAATATTACAATAAAGTAATAATACTAATAATATTTTGACTGTTATTACTATTGCTATTACTAATAATAATTACTATTATTCAATATTCCACTATGGAAACATCCCAGTAAGTGGATCAGTCCACAGACACCACATAAAATAGCCTCAGCCAAAAGCAGCTTGTTTTCCACAGTCTTGAAGATTCCTGAGTATCAAAATGCCTTCATCCTTTCCCGCCACAACTCCTGCTCTGATTTAGTATCACATTCTTTTTCCGAAATTGTAAAACACAGTACCGTTTTTCACCAAAAAGAAGCTAATCAATAATGGAAAGATAAGAACCAATGGAGGGCTTCCTCCATGCTTCCCTACAGCAGCATTTTTGGCACAAGGCGTATTTCCTCCAATCCTACCCAATAACTTCAGCCTGTGCAGGGTGATGCGTTGGTACAACTAAGTCGACCAAGCTGCTCGTGACACCCTTCAGGCTAATCAGTACCAGAGCTGAAAGAAGATTCTTCAACAGCTCTGTCTACGACACTTAGGTTCGTTTGATTTTGTAAAAGTCAAAAAAGCATCTCCGGCCCCTTTAAAGCCATTCGAATTTGTACAGCCTCAAAAACTCAGCACTGTCCTTGGATTCCTTCTCCTTCGTGCCCATATTCAGTCATCAGCAATCGTCAGATCTTGTCCCTTCTATTCCCACAATATTTCTTATCCCATTCCCTTGGCCCCATCCCAACCAGCACACCTTTGACACTGCAGAGATCTCTTAATCTGCCCTCAGCATCACAGTGGGGGGCTGGGGGAATGTAACATAAACAAACAAACAACAAAAAGTACTAGCTCTCAGCTCTAAAAGAGGGACAAAGAAAGTCAAAACCAGAGCGGACGTAGGGAATGTCAGTACTGATACACAGATCCTGGGGGATCATGGGAAATAAGCCAAAGCTTGGTCAGGATGGCAGAGGCAAGCCCTGGGGATTGCCCAGAGTAAGTCCAGGGCTGATGGAGCAGAACATGAAAGGCTGAGCCCAAGATGGCCACCATGGCCCCACTCACAAAAAAGGGGCTCAGGTTACCAAGGCCCGGATGTTAGAGTGGGAAATTGTCCTTCAGAGCCAAATCTTGCCCTTAATGCTCCCAAGGAACTCTTTTGAAAACCTCGTGGTCATGGAGGTACACTCCTCTGGGTCCTGACCTGACAAGTTTCATTTGACAAGTTGCTACAAGATCATGTCACTACCTTCATAAAACCCTTCAACAGTCCCCATTGCTCAGAGTAGTAACCACTTAGCCCAGCGCCAAAGACCCTGTGGTCTGGCCCCAGTTGTTCTGATTTCCTACCTTTCCTACTCAAACTAATTTTCCTTGTCCCCTGTACGTGCTCATGCCTTCACTCCTTGTTTCTCTCCTTAAATGCCCTGCCAGCCACTTTCAGAACCTTCAAACTCAGATGGTGACTCCAACCCAAAAAGAAGTTGATTCTCCCCAGGTGGAAAAAAATCTCACCTTCTTTTGTGTTCTTCCAAAACTGTGCTCCACTTTGCTACAGCTGTTTAAATATACCTTATCTCTCCTCCAAGGGTATACTGTATTTATGTACCCAGCAAATATTTGTTGAATTAATGAAAGAATCGCTGAGTAAATATTTAAAAGTAAAGCAAAGTACAATGCACCATAATCTTGAAACCCGCACCGATGTCCCCAGAAAGGAGAAAAACACAGTTCTCAGCTCAAAAAAATTTTTTTTGAGACTTACTTATTTTTTAATTTTTTTTTAGAAAGAGAGAGAGAGTGTGAGTGAGTGGGGGAGGGGCAGAGGGAGAGAATTTTCAAGCAGACTCCCTGCTGAGTGGAGAGCCTGACTACTAGGCTTGATCTCACAACCCCACAACCCATGAGATTATGACCTGAGCCAAAACCAAGAGTCAGACACTTAACTGAGCCACCCAGACGCCCCTCAACTACTTATTATTAAAAATATACACTCTCAAAGCTTGACTCATTTGTTTGTTTGTTTTTTTAAAACAGGCCTATTGATTAGTTCTTTTTAAGCTTTTATATGAACTTGTCCATGTAATTATATGTGGGGAATCATTTACAAACAAAAACCTTCCTTAGTTTATTTATTTGTTTTTCTTGACCAGTGTGTAATCATGGAAAGTATATGAAGTCTTACATGAGGTAAAACTTACATGAAGTCTGAACAATCTAAAGGATTTGTATATTTTTTGTCCTAGAAGTTTCTTTGTTAACCTTCCAGTTCTGTAGTAATTCAACTCCAATTGAGTCTGTATTATTAGTTTTCTTTCTTGAAAGATACAATCTATAGTGGATTATTTCTAGCTTTCCCATCATTTGCAGTGTCAATATAATACATTCTAAAGTCTTCTCTGAAATACATAGATTCCTCCCTGCTTCAAATACTTATAGAAAAACAACTCGTATAGAAAGATATAAAAAATCCAAACATATTTTGCTATATTTCCATCTAATCTTTTTTATATTTTTTAATACTTGAGAATATTATATTTTGTATCCAGTCTCATTTATTTAACATTTCATTGTTGGTTTTTTCCTATGATATGACCTCCCCAAATCACTATTTCCAAAAGTTGCATTTTTATTGGTACTATGAAGAAGAAAATTATAAAAAAAAAAATTAAGGTTTTATTTATTTGTGAGAGAAGAGACAGAACAAGTGGGATTGTGAGGCAGAGGGAGAAGGAGAAGCAGACTCCCTGCTGAGCCTAGAGACCAACGCAGAACTGGATCCCAGGGCTTCCCGATCGTGAACTGAGCAGAAGGTAGATGCTTGACTAACTGAGCCACCCAGGCGCCCCAAATACAAATTTTTTTAAAAAATGGATTTATTTTAAGAAAGTGGCTATTTCCCCAAAACAGCCAAATCCACATCTGAGAAGAGGATTAACTAAGCCTTTGACACATTTTTTTAAGAACTATTGAGGTTTCTGGTGAAGATTAATTTGGGGGAACAAGAGAAGTAGCTCTAAAAAATAAAATATTTAATATTTATAAAATAGAGTATAATATCCACTATTGTTTACTTTCCCCCGAGTTTCTCAAATTATAAAAAGTTTAAAAGTCCTGATGAATTATAACATCAGCTTCAGTCTCAGGCTTCTGAGCATCATCACTTCGCACCTTAGGGTGGGGAATTCAGAAATCCCAATTCACAATACAAAGGTGCAAAAATCTAATTACACAGAATAATGCCCAAAGACTCTCTCTCTTCTAGTAAATGCCTTAGAGAATGGGGATAAATTGGATTCTCCATAATTGAACTAAATGGTGTGTGTGTGTGTGTGTGTGTGTATGTGTGTGTGTGTGTGTTTAAGCACGTTTATTATTGGTGCTTGAGTGATAAGTTTTTGAACAGATTCTATAGGAAAAGTCAAAAATTCTTCAAGGGGAGCCTTAATCCCATCAAATCCCCAAAGCTTACCTGGCAGAAACTCTCCTTTATGCTAAAAACAAGAGACATATAAACCACTTACGTTCTCTGTGATTTACTTCAGATATTAGTCCACAGAAGAGAAACATAACACTCCCAAGAGCTTATATTAAATATTTCCAAAGTCATCCCAGGACCCTCTCTAGATTCCGAAAACATCTGGATAGAAGACAGACAGGCTTGGGAATAAACAAAGAATGGTTTCCTCATTTCCAAAACTCACACTCACAGAGATCCAAAACTCTTGAGTTGGGCTTGCAGTATAACTTGTCCTTGGGCTGTTAAAGATCTTCCAGTTTTTTGCAATCCCTGTTCTAGAAGCAGGCCCCTATCTTTACCATGGCCACAGAGTTTGGCCTGTTAAGGACATTCAGTGAATCCCCATGTACTTACAGATGCTACGTAAGGGGCTAGACACCAACTCCAGTGGGTGAACAGTGTGAAAAATCATAAATGAAAACCTAACTGAAATGGAGTCAGGAAGTTCCACAATGGGAGCTCTCATGCCCTACCATTCTCCATCAATTGTAAATCCCACAGGAAGAGATGGACCTTGCTGGTGGCTACAACTTTACTACCCCAGCAAGAGGAAGAAAGCCTATCCTTCCCCAACAATAGCCTAGCCAATGATAGGAAGTCACAATTCAGCCAATGAAGAACCACCATACTTTGAATGCCCAGTTTACTCCGATGGACTTTTCATTTATAATACGGAAGTCTTAACTTCCCCCTTTCCTCTGTAAAAAAGCATTCCTCTCCTTTGTTCCATTTGGATTTGCTTTGGTTTTACTGTAGCTTGCCTGTCCCCGATTGTAATTCTCTGCTACTCCTGAATAAACCCATCTTTTGCTAGTAGAATAAAGGGCGGTTTTAAGGTTAACAGCAGAAACAAAAACAATGTTTTCTACAAATGACTGAGGCACTGAAATAAATTAAGGCGCTTGTCTGCACTAGGTATTTAGTGGAAAATACCTTCACAGATTAATAGAAGAGAAACAGAGGAGACACTAAGAAAGGGAAAAAACACTACCATATTATACCTTGCAATTCCCATTACTTTATTCTATGGAAAAATTAAAAACCCCTGTGGTCAGCTATTCCAGAGATCAGCTTTCTAGAACTCTAAGACCTTAAGTCTGCCCTCCTCTTTTTTTAGAGGACGAAACTACAATAGTATTTTTGAAAGATATATATATATATATATATATATGCCCATTTTGCGGGGGGGGATGGTATATGCCCATATTTTTAAGTACACATTTTTCTTTAGCCATAATTAGGCAGAAGCTCACTTTAAATTTCTTCCATTTTATTTGGAAAAAGTGCTTGGAAGTTTTCAAGATTATTTTGCCATTACCTCACAGCATGCCTCCAATTTTCCCCTGACACATCTGATGAGAATAAATCTTGTTTATTTTGCCACTACTCTAAGCTGTCTAATGTCCCCAAAGGAAGCTGCAGATTGGCTGTCTTTTTCTTCATTAAAATGAGAGGAAAACATGTGAAAGAGAAAATTAAACCAATCTGACACCGCTACTTTCTCAGAAAGCATCACAAGAACTATGAATTCAGAAGGACTCCTGGTTGCCCATTAGACAAACTTTTTCGGTTTTGAAGAATATATATAACTAAAATTCAGAAAGAAATAATGAGATTTCCTTTGCTGTTTTTGAGTCTAATTATAGTTACTAAAATTTTTCTGCACATATTTTATCGGAGACTCAGAT